TCGTCCTCCCGGATACCGTGGACGGATTTGTGCCGGTTTCCCGGGGGGAGCATTGGACGGTGCCTCGCCCCTAGCGATCACGCGTGCTGGTGGTTTGGAGCGCGGGAGCCCTGGCCTCGGTTGTGAATCGGTCGGTGTACGTGACCGTCACCCAGAAACGGTGGCCTGTGTTTCCAGCCTGCGTTTCAAAGGCTATTTACTCTCTAAAGTAGATACTGTTACTGTTGTGCAGCTTTTCATGCAGATGTTATCCTGGAAAGTAAATTCAAGTAAAAAAAAAAAAAACTCATGAAGTTGAAAGTGTAGTTCTCTAGGAAAATAAATTGTTAAAGTGCAAAGACCAGAATCCTCAGGTTGAACCTGTCCTGGTGAACAGTGTGAGAATGAGATAAAAGCAGCAGCAAGGATGAAAGGAAGTAGATTCCACAGTTCTGTTGATGGGCCCTGGCAGCCCTACATCCTCTGGAAGGGGCAGTACTGGATATTACCCGTCTTTCTGCCTCCGTGGAGAGGGGGGGGGGGGGGAAGAGGGGAGGGGAAAGGGGGGAGGGGATGAGAAGCAAGTTTTTATCGGCAGGCTGGGGGAGCTTGGGGTTTCTGCCGCTACTGCTGCCACCATATGCAAATAGTAGACCAAGGTATAACTGGATAAATCCCAAGGCTCGTTGTTATTAAAATCCGGCAGAAAAAGTAATGGGACCGGGAGGGTGTTGCAGAAGCAAGAGGAAACAAAGTAGCACCTGCCCAACTGCCTTGGAGCCTAAATTCCAAGAGCCAGGGGAACTGTCCTGCTTACACTACCCTGGATTTGACTGTCTTTATAACCTGCCGTTTATGTTCTTCCAAATCAGACTCACAGAGAATCAGACCATCAAAACACATGGTTACAAAACACATCTTTTATGGTTTTCCCTGTCTTCCTGATTTCCTGATGGAAATTGAAGGAATAAGATGCACAGATTTAGGGGATTTTGTGAGGTTGAGCACCTCAGATTTTAGTTCTGAGAGGTTTTTATAATATTTTTCCCCCATTGGTTTTAGAGAGGAGAGAGAGAGAGAAGTGTCAATTGGTTGCCTCCCATACACACCCTGACCCTGACCCTGGATCCAACACCGTCTATGAACCCACCACCTAGGTAAGTGCCCTGACCAGAATAGAACCTGCCACCTTTCCGTGTGGACAATGCACCAACCAACTGAGCCACACCGGCCAGGGCAGTTCTGTGGGTTTTGAATAAAAAGGGTGCAACCTGGTAAAGTACACCTCAAGGAAAGTGTGTACCAGGTGGACTTTTTCAACAGCCTGATCTTAGAACCTTAGTGCTGAAGACAGAATGGCACCCCAGAGAGCCCTCTGGCACCCACCCCCTACAACCTACATCAAAAGAACCAGCTGCACTAAACTTACTGGGCAAGATCCACCCACCTCACCACCCAGCATGATAACCAGAGGAAACAGCTGGAACTGGCGACTGGAAAAGAGGAAGTTCATACATATCCAACTTGGTCTGCAACTTTTTAGTTCTTTTATTTTTTTTATTGATTAATCCAGAGGAGAAAACAACTAGTTTTCAAAATTCAAAAAACTTTGGAGTTTTAGGTAACAGTTGTTTTCCTGGTCCATCAATTTGTTTCTGATAGAGATCTGCTTTCTATGTTAAAATATGACAACGGGGTATTTTTCTCCTACACTTGAAAGTGAGCTCTTATGGGGAATTAATCAGTGTTTTTACATCAGTGGTTTTACTATTAAAGATTTCTTAAGTAAATTATCTGGCAAAATTTCTTTCTTCAAATACCATTTACAGTATTTGGTTTCTTTTAGAATTTATATTGTGAAATATACATTACAATGCATAAAGCAGTTACTCATTATAATGAGTAATTATAAAGTAAACCTTCATGTAACCAACCAGATCAAGAAATGGAACATTGCCAGCACCCCAGAATCCCCCTGTTGACCTTCCTGAACACAACTCATCCCCTCTTTTTCAGAGGTAACCCTTATTCTATCTTCTGTGATAAGTATTTCCTTGCTTTTCTCTATTGTTTTATCACAAACATGCATCCTTAAGCAATATATCATTTGGTTTTGTCCTTTCTTGTGAACTTTATGAAATGGAAAAACCTAATATGTAATCTATTTTTCTGGTACTTACTGCTTTAGCTCAACATTGTTTTTAATCCATATGTTGTTCAGGTTGTTCATATAACTTTAATTTGTTCATTTTAATTGCTGAATATTATAGTGTTCCATTGTAGTATATGCCATGATTTACTTAACCATTCTATTGTTGATAGATATCTGGATTGTTTCTAGTTTGGAAGGAACTGCTATACATGCTGCTATGAACATTCTCCCTATGTATTCTATCATGCCTATATCAGTTTCTGTATAGTATATACTTGGAAGTGGATGTGCATATCATAAACTTGAATAAATAACACCAAGCTGTTTCTAAAGTGTTATAATCACACCAGCCATGTCTGAGTCCCATTGCTGCACATCCTCAACCACACTTGTTATTGGCAGTTCTTTTTGGTTTTGACAGTCAGGTGGGTGTGTTGTACCATGACATTGTGTTTTTAACATGCATTCCCCTCATTACTGATGCTATTGAAGGCCTTTTCATATATCAGCTAGCCATTTGGATTTCTTTCAGGAAGTGTCTATCTACACTGATAAAAGAGAAACATGCAAATTGGTGTCACTCTGCTATGCCCACCAGCCAATCAGAGCAACTATGCAAATTAACCCAACAAAGATGGTGGTTAATTTGCATACGTAGGGACGGTGGGAAGACTGAAGACTTAAGCCTCGCTGCAACCTCAGCGGAGAAGCCAAGCCTCGCTGCGGCCAGACCAAAGGCCTGGGTCCCGGGTGCCGGAGGAAAACCGGTGCCTGCCACCAGGGGAAGGAAGGCCTATTGCACGAATCTCTTTGTGCAATGGACCTCTAGTCCTATCTAATAATAGACAAACATGGTAATTAACCATACCTCAGCTATGCTTCCCATTGGCTAATCAGGGTGATATGCAAATTAACTGATAACCAAGATGGCGGCCGGCAGCCACGCAGCTGAAGCGAACATGAGGCTTGGTTGCCCTGGCGATGGAGGAAGCCAAGGTTCCCCACCTGCCGAGGCCCAGCTCTGAGCTCTGGATGCAACAATGTTGCAATTATAGAAGCTAAACAAACCCCAGATACCTGCTTTCAGCCAGCCGGCCTCGGAGCTGGAGCTGCAACAAAGTTTCAATTACAGAAGGTAAATAAATCCCAGAATAAAAAAAAAAAAAAGAAAAAAAGGAGAGACTGGGAGCTTCAGTTGCAGGCTTAGCCTGCCTGAAAACAGCCCTCAGCCCCTCATCCAGGCTGGCCAGGCACCCCAGTGAGGACCCCCACCCTGAAGGGGGTGCGGGCAGCCTGAAAACAGCCCTCAGCCCCTCATCCAGGCTGGCCAGGCACCCCAGTGGGGACCCCCACCCTAAAGGGGGTGCAGGCAGCCTGAAAACAGCCATCAGCCCCTCACCCAGGCTGGCCAGGCACCCAAGCGGGACCCCCACCCTGATCCGGGACACCATTCAGGGCAAACCAGCCGGCCCCCACCGTGCACCAGGCCTCTATCCTATATAGTTAAAGGGTAATATGCAAACTGACCCTAACAGCAGAATAACTGGGAATGACTGGTCACTATGACACACACTGACCACCAGGGGGCAGACGCTCAATGCAGGAGCTGACCTCTGGTGGTCAGGGCACTCTCACATGGGGAGCTCTGCTCAGCCACAAGCCAGGCTGATGGCTGCCAGTACAGCTGTGGTGGTGGGAGCCTATCCTGCCTCCTCAGCAGCGCTAAGGATGTCCGACTGCAGCTTAGGTCTGCTCCCTGCTGGCAAGTGGACATCCCCCGAGGGCTGCCGGGCTGCCAGAGGGATGTCTGATTGCCAGCTTAGGCCCAATCCCCTGGGGAGCAGGCCTCAGCCAGCAGATGGTCATCCCCTGCGGGGTCCCAGACTGTGAGAGGGCACAGGCTGGGCTGAGCCCCCCTCCCCCACAGAGTGCACAAATTTTTGTGCACCAGGCCTCTAGTATATATATATAAAAGGCTAAGTGACCTGACCTTACGACCATAGACTGACCGGCTGGTACATATGATGTGCACTGGCAATTGAAAAATAAACATTGATTCACACATGTGCGATGCATATAAAGCTCTTGCTGGTGCCAATTGCACACATGTTTCAATCTGTCATTGTCAATCATGAATTTGGTTGACACTTCTATTATAGAGAAAGGGTGAATAGCAATATTAAAATATTTCTTCTAATTAGTTTCAATGTGCAGGAATCCACTCACCAGGTCACTAGTGTTACTATAATTTTCATGCCTAATCTCTAAGATGCCGATGTGGTATCCTTATTTGCTGTGATTTAGCTTCATTGAATCTCCTTACTTTATAGGCAACTATGTAACAGTTTCCCCTGGCACAGATTTTTTTTCATTTCCCAGTTTCATTTATTTTATACAAGTCACAATGGCTTTTTGTTTTCTACCTAAAGTTCATGATAAAATACATGATTGGTTAGGGTTTTTATTTTTTAATGTCACTCAATATCAAATACATACCACCCGTTTCGACCTGGCAAATTGTCCCAACATATTGTTTGGTTGTTTTTATCATTTTCTTATCAGTCAATTCTTGGTTTACAGTCAGGGATATTTTAAAACTAGAGGAAGATGAAGACCCACAGAAATTAAGTGTCTTACCCAGGTCAAAAGAACAAGTAAATAGGAAGCCTGGACTCCACCCCAAGTAGTCAAATAGAGTATGCATGCCGATATATCACACTGACTGGAGCAGAAAGGTAAATTTATTCCCATGGTTTACAAAATATTGCCCACTTCCATATGCCAACCCTCTTATTCTACCATTGAATAAGGTTATGTTAAGCCTACCAGTTTTAGAATCAGATTAAGATATAAATAAATATTATAAAGGTTAATATAAATGATAGTGCTAAAACTTGCTTTAAAAAAATAAGCAAGTTTGTGTTGTTGGTTGTGTTGGTTTTGGCTCAATTGGTTGAGCATTGTCCCATGCACCCAAGAGTGACTGGTTTGATTCCCAGTCAGGGCACATGCCAGGGTTATGGGCTCGATCTCCGGTGGGGGGGCATGCAGGGGGCAGCCAATTGATGTTTCTCACTTATCCATGTTTACATCTCTCTCTCCCTCTCCCTTTCCCCCTCTCCAAAATCAATAAAAACATTTTTTTAATTTTTTAATGGTTTCTTTACTCCCCTTTCTCCCTTATAGCCTATTTGTCACTAGGCCCCATTGCCTCTACAAAGAATTACCATACTCCCTCCATATCTGAGAAAAGAGTTACAAAATAAAGGTAGATGTTAGCTGTTAAATAATGCTGGAAAGGCCCTTGATGATGATGATCGGCTCCCTAATAATTTCATAATGTGGTAAAAAATGTTGGAGGATATCAGAACTTAACTTTTTTTATTTTTAGGAGGCCGGACCCAGACCTGGGGCAGGTCACTTCACCTGTGCTGTGACCGCGCTCCAGGGGCTCCTGGCTGGCTTCGCAGCAACAGCTGGGGCGGGACCTGGGCCCCCCGTCCTACTGCCCTGCGCCAGGGCCTCTGCAACAGTGACGGCCACAGTGGCTAGAACTTAACATTTTTAATACAAGGACAAAACCAACCTCGAAAACTTACCAACGTTTGATGAGATTGCCCCTGTGTTACCTTTATTATCGTCCAGGTTTGAGAAAAGATTGATTCTAAAAAGGAATGATAGATTACTTCTAGTTTTTGTTTTGTTTGTTTGTTTGTTTTGATGATTCCTAGTTTTAATAGAAAATAAATTTGAATCACTTAAAATCTTTGATAATTTAAACTTAAAGTTTCATAAGAATCCTTCATTTGGTTTTGTCATTAATAGTTACAAAGTATTTTTATCTAAGAAAATCTAGCTATTATATTTTAAATATTGAGTAAAAACAGCCTCAAAGAAATAACTTCTTAAAATATTAAGGTAGGCTAAGATGTAACTTAACTCTGAAGAGCAAAGCCTTTACAATGTTCTGGCTTGAATTTTAAAGTTGAGTTATTGAATTAACTATACGGAGTTTGCCAAAGGTACCAAGTACATAAATACTAATTGTATATTTTTTGTGGTAAGTGCCAAAAAGCAATGATCTGTAGAAAATATAAAAGGGTTAGAATATCTATCATAAGCATAGAATTTTCATAGTTCACCATTCAGTGAACAAAAACTTAGCACCTACTATTTCTTAGCACTGGACTAAGTGCTTGCTTGACGGATAATGGTGAAGAGAAACAGACCTGACCCTAGCTTCATAGAGCTTGCATTTTAGTGCAAGCCTAGTGCAGGCCAGGCCTGCTACTTCACACCAGTTACTGTCATCTAGAACTATTTTCCTATCTGGTGATACAGTCAATGAATAAATGAGTGACTGCTTTTATTCTCTTCATAAGCACAGTAATGGTGACATGCTAGCAACCTCTGATCCTGTTGTCATTTGTCAGATTATCACGATAATTTTGAAAAATACAGAAACATTCAAAGAGTATGTGTGTCCATACACCCTTCACCTAGATTTTTGCTATATTTGCTTTATGAACTTTTTATGAACCATTTCAAAGTAAGTTGCAGGTCTCATGTTGCTTTACTCCCAAGTACTTTAACAGTTATAACCTAAGAAAAAGGATATACCTAACCCCAACCTTTAATCAGACTTATAAAAATTAACAAAAATCTTTATCTAAATACAGGTCATAATTAAATGATTACTTTCCATCCTCATGCTATATAATTTATAAATAACATTATGTAAGTTTAAGGTATACAATATGATGATTACTACAATTAGGTTAGTTAACACACTATCACCTCACATAGTTACTTTTTTGTTGTTGTTTGATGACATTTAAGATTTACTCTCAGCAAATTTCAAGTGTAAAATACCAAGAATATTCTTTTTTTTTCTTAATATATTTTATTGATTTTTTTACAGAGAGGAAGGGAGAGGGATAGAGAGTTAGAAACATCGATGAGAGAGAAACATTGATCAGCTGCCTCCTACACACTCCCTACTGGGGATGTGCCCGCAACCAAGGTGCATGCCCTTGACCAGAATCGAACCTGGGACCCTTGAGTCCACAGGCTGACGCTCTATCCACTGAGCCAAACCGGTTAGGGCCCAAGAATATTCTTGATGGCTGTCCCTCTCCCCCAACCTGGGTCCAGTCACGTTCACATATTGTATTCTTCAATTATATTTAAATGTAAATATTTTTCGAGAAACTAAAAACTGGGCCCCAGTAGTTTAAAGTAATTGCTTTACATCCTTTCTTTTTAAAAATGTTATATTTTAAGTCTACTAAGAGCATTATGTATTTTTTAGTAGAGAATGGACTCCCTTCTTCAGTAGCTTTTT